GCAGAGGAAGTTACACTGATGACTTACCAGACTCATCCATGGGAGGACTACCAAAAGATTCTTAATAAACAGCTGTGTTTAGAAATATCCAAATATCAAACCATTTTTCTGAACTTTCTGTTAAAACAGGAAGCTTTCATTTCTTGGTGTATATGAACAGGAATTATTTTGCTTTTGCAGTAACTATGCTAATGCAGGAGTATTGAACATATGGCTCCACAGACTGGATCAGCCCCATGGGTCTTGGATCAACCCTGTGTACCATATGCAAAGGTTGTCTGGGTCATAGGCTGGACCCAGTGCTGCGGGCACTGCATGAAGTACAGGGGGTTGGTCTGGGAGGCACATGCAGTGCTCATGGCCAGTCCAGCTCTATGCTCTGCCTGATCTAGACTGGCCCTGTGCACTGGCATGGCCCTATTCGGACTGGCCCCAGATCCACTGCATAAGGCTGGTCCAGTGGGCTGCCACATGCAGCCTGTGCTCCAGATCCTCTGTGCTGCATGAGTGCTCTCAGCACTGGATCCAACCCAAGCACTGCACACACAAGCCCCAGAGTGGATCTGGCACATGGGGCTGGACTGGGTGTGCACATGTTGCATACAACACAGAGGCTGGCATAGGGTGCTCCACCAGACAAGCCCTGCACAATGGCTCTGGTGTGTGGTCCCGTTCTGGTACACAGACTAGATCAGTGTCCCTCATCTGGTCTGCAGGGCTAGATGAATTTGACACTCCTGTACCAATGTAGTCAGTGTGGTAGAGGTGATCATCTTTTATTAGATCAACTAAACATTTGCAAAAAGATGTCCTTTATTTGCATGCTTTCAGGCTCACACGGCCTTCCTCAGGCAAAGGAGAATGCAAAGATTGTTAAATTTTTCCCAGGTAGAAATGAAAATTCATATTGCACAGGAGAGCTGGAGGGTGTTGAATTATTCAACATCCTCTTTGTCATCAGATACCTTTGAGGTGAATAGACTGCTCCAACTTTTATCCGAGCCTAATTTGCATGCAATGGACTTTTCTAGCCAGGAGAACTTATACCACCCTCCAGCTCTCCTGTGCAATATGAATTTATTTCTACCCGAGAGAAATTTAACAATCTTTGCATTCTCCTTTGCTTGAGAAAGAGCACGTGAGCACAAAAGTTTGGAAATAAAGAACATTTTTTTGCAACTGTCTAGTTGGTCTAATAAAAGTGATCATATCTACCATGCTGACTGCTTTTACTTTTAGACCAACACAGCTACAACCTTATCCCTGTACCAATATAAGCACTGATAAGAAAACCTGCTCTGCCCAATCTAAATCTGTGTCTTGTGTACAGGACATTTCAAATAATGAAGGCATGGTACTATCATCATGTCTTCAGGCACAGCGAGTTACCTGCATAGCAATGCCTACTTCAACTGCAACATCCTTGAATGCAAGGATTAATTCAGAAGCTTAAAAAAAATCCAACATCCCATACGGATATACTCAGTCTATCATCTGAAGGTTCAGGACAGACCAGACAAAATATGAAGAGGAACAAATCATCCAGATAGCAAGTGACCTTTGCCAGATACTCAATACTCTTAGTGGGAAGTGTTTTTGCATTGGTCACTAATGGCCACAGTAACACTAAACTTAGTTTTACATCCTATAATAATATGGGCTTCTGTCCAAACTGCACTATAAACTGTGTTAATAATTGTTACTGTTTATATGAAGTGCTTGTCCTGTAAAGTTCAAGGGCTGGTATTAGAGATTGAGGTTAGTGAGAAATAAGGGGAAAGCTGCTGAGGAAATTCTAACATCAGCTTGGCCCTCTGGCTGGCTAGACAGCAAGCAAGAAGGTGGTACAGGGCTCCAAATAGGCTGCAGCCGCTAGGTAACGTTCCATCTAAGGTGCAGTGATCTGTGAGCATGCTGCTTCGGTCTGTTCCCAAATTGGTCCTGCCTCCCCCTTTTGGCACGCACCAGGGGAATGCCTGCATTCAGGAGCATAAGACTAGAAGGGACCTGCTGGGAAGTCCCAGGCAGGGCCCCTGCACATGCTGGCAGACAACTGTGCAAAGGGGTCCACAGCATCCACTCCAGCCCCTTTTGCACATTGTAGATCCGGGGCAGCCCCTGGCCCAAAACCCCACTGTAGGCCACAGGATGGGAGTGGGACACACAACAGGAGCACTGAGACCTTTGCCATGGCAGTGGCAGGGTGTTTCTTGGGCAAGATATGTTCAAACAGACCTAGACAGCTGACCATGCCCTGTGCTAGAACCAGGCAAAATCCCACAGTCCTTGCACCTGGGAGGTTTTTCAATACCTCCGGGGGCAACAGCACCCTCTCTCCCAGCCCATCTCCCAATTCTGGCTGTGGCCAATGTCCAGGGCTTAAAGGCAAGAGGGGCAAGCTCTTCCTTGCTCCTTCAGGTGACCAGCAGAAGCCCTGAAGCCTGGGGCTACAACCCACCAATCTCCTCTCATAAGGTAGGTTCTCCATTTCTCCGACCACCCTGGGCCAGGGAGGCATATGGCGTCGGGGCGAAGCTCGCTTGAAGGGGTTGGGGAGTGGAGCAGTTCCCTGGAGCCAGCAGAGCCCGCGTGGCGCCTGGCTCTGCCCCAGCCCTCATCCCCACCACCGCCTCAGGGAGGAACTGCTGCCTGCCCCGCACCGCTCCCTCCCCACGGAAATGCCAGTGCAGTGAGGAGGAGCAGAGGGCCTCCATGCAGCTGAGCGGTAACTTACTGCCAGTCAGTGTCCCACACCAGCTCCAGTGCCTTCGCTATGCTCTGCACACAAAGTTTACAGGAAGCCACAGCCCAGGTTTTCTCCGGGCGGGTGCGCAGCATTAAAAAAGTTACTGCGCAACAAGGTTTTTTATTGTGTGCGGCCATGCATGCATGCAGCTTAGAGGGAACCTTGCCAGTAGGTTTCCTTGTCACAAGGATAAGTTGCCCTCAGAAAGGCAGCTAATGAAAAATGACCAGCAGACTGGGACGGTGTGTGCAGGTGCTGCTTACAATAACTGGGAAAAGTAGTTCTGTACTGTAAAAATGCCCCTGGCAGAAAAATATCATGAGGAACATGACAGGGTGTGTAGATGCATGAGTGGCTACATAAGGCCAGTGTCCAGGTAAAGCTGAAGGATCCAAACAAAATGGACTTGGCCAGTACATTGGTGCCAGACCTCCCAGCAGGGGCTACAGTACTTCACAAACTTACTGCATGCTATAACCTATTAACCTGGGCAACATATTGGTATATTGCGCACTCTCAATGCAAGGTGTTAGGCCATATGTACTCTGAGAACTCCCCTCCCTGCTGGAAGACAAGACTTGTAACAAGCAGTATGAATGCACAATATGAAACAGATGAGCTTTATGATAAAAAAAGAAGTTTGATGAATAAGTTCTTACCAACTAAGACTGAGTTGCCTGAAATGAACAGATTTCCAAAGACAAAGCCAATTTCATCTCCATGGTCTGCCTTTACAAAGTGTGGTTTAGTATCCTTAAATATACTGGGTCGATGCTGGAATTCATAGAAATAGACTGAAGCGCCAGAATCTAGCAGAAAGGAACAACCAGGATAGAACGCACGATTTCTCTCGCTGCATTTTCCACGAGCAAGTGTTAATCAAGAGCTTCCTGCACATTCTTAAATACTTTTTCATGTTGTGACCAGATGCAAATTAAGCTTTGCAATAAAAGCACACACTGCTTTCTCACACTGTACACCTCCCCCCCAAAATAAGACACACACATCATTTGGGGAGGGCTGATTTTTGGAGGGGAAAGGTGTGTGTGGTACGTGTGTGGTCTACACAGTAACTAAAATTCTAGCTCAGGGTTTCAATTAATGTATTTCACAATTCATTTTCAGAAAATACAAGAGGCCAGGGGATAAGCTAGAAAGGACCTCAAGAGACCAGTTTAATCCAGGGACGGCCAATTACTTCAGGTGGAGGGCCGCTTAACAAGTTTTGGTGAGCTGTTGAGGGCTGCAAGGGAAGCCCTGCCCCTTGATGGGTGCCCTGCCCCCCGCTCATCATATCCCACCTCTAACCCCTGACTTTTTCCATCAGAAGTCCCTCCCCTTGCCCCAGAAGTACTCCTCTTGGGAGTAGGGTGCTGCTATCTTGAAACCGAAAACCCCTCACATCAGATACTAAAAAATAAAACATCTACTACAACTTATTTTAAAATATTTTTGTCCTGATTTGTGTGTTTGCATAGTGTATCTAGAGGCAATCGCATAATAGCTCAAAATACAGTCCTACTCTTGTATATTGTGTGTAGGAGGCAAGAGAGAGGATGGAGAGAGTCATATCTCTCTCTGTCTGAATTATCTTTGACAAATGTTTTGCTAAATTAACAGCCCACGTTCCCAACCAAATCAACAAGACCACATACCCACCCTCAGCAACAAAACTGCCACAAGGGCATCAGATATTGTGTTGTGGCATGTTGACCCAACAATGATCTGTAGGGTGTAATTAGAGAAATGCCCATTTACCTTTAGATAAAAATCACGTCTCAGTAAAAAGTCTGTAAAAAGCTGCCTGCATGGTGTCACAGATATCACTTCTGCCTCATGAAACACAGCTCTGTTTGATCTCTAGCACTAGTCACCTCAGCTGGAAAGGGCAGGAGGGGTAACGGCAGCTATACTAAACCAAGAAGACTAAAAGGAATGACACAACAAATTTAGTCTTCAGAAAAACCCCCAACAATCTAAGTGGGGAAAAAATTATCTTCAAAAAAGGAAGTTAGTCATGATCTAAAGTCTGTTCAGATTAATAGAAAGTGTTCCATAGGCTTCAAAGGGTTTTAGGTTAAGTACAAAATAGAAAACAGCAGGGAAGGGGGCAGTGCAGTGCCAGAAAATCCTCAGGAGCACTACTAGGTCCAAGTCCATGCCAAAGTCCAAAAATCCACAAGTACTTTGCCTCAATGCTATTCCCTGATTTAGCCCTCTAATTACTTGCTCTTAACTGAGTCAGGGCATGTGTCACTCTGGGATGTTAGCTGGAAAATTTACCTCTGTAGTATCTAGATACTTGAATAGCTGGAAAAACAAAGAGGAAGTCTCCCATCATTTCTTGAAACTGGGCTCGCAGCACATCAGGGTCATTTGTGTCTCCTAAATATTCATCTGCTACCAAAGAGAGAAACTCAACGGGAAGCATCTATAACAAAGGATGAAGGCACATAAACAGAGGCAAAAATGGATTGTGGGTTCAGTCTCCAGAACTGCGGCTCAGGTACTAGTTATTAAATATTACCCAAAGGGCTAGGATCCCTGCTGGAGGAACCACACACTATTTGCTTTTTTTGGAATAATGCCACAGACAAGAAAAGGTTAAATGTACACACATTCCCTAAACAGTCCCAGAAGTCAAGGTCAGGGGTCCTTCTGAGTCTGGCAGCTTGCAGGGCTCAGGTAGTCGCAGCACCTTGATTTCTGTAGTCAATGGCACACAAGGGAACAATGTGGCCAGCACTGAATTCAACTGCCTTCAAGTACCCAGCCTGAATGACCAGGTGCCCATTTACAGCTGGGTTGACTGTGGGCAGCCTTTGGCACAAGTCTGGAGCACGACTTGAATTTGTCCCCCTGGAGCTGTAGCATGACACCAAGAAAAAGCTTAGGTCAGTGATGAATTCCACCAGCAAGCCTTTGAATACACATATATGGCAAACAGTGGTGACGTGATGGCATCTACAACCTCAGATGTGAGACCGGCATAAAACAAACAATAAGATACCATATAGGACAACAAACAATGAACAATAAAATGCCTTACCAACTGTGATGTTATTTTGTGTAATGCTGAAATAATGTCTTCTCTGTGCATCCTTTCTTGTAATAACGGGAATTTCAATAACTGCATAATAACATAAGAATAAAACAATATTTTTATATTGTAAAAAACATTTAATATCAGCATGTCTGCTGACTGCTCCATTTCATTTTAGCTAGCAAGGATGGCTCAGCACTTATTAAATACACCCTTTTTCATAGGAACCTACGTGGAGGTGGGTGGGAAGTGGCTCTCTCCTTTGCTATTGCCAGCAACCACGTCATATAACTCCTTTTGTAAGGTGATCAAGCCCAGCATTAACGTTAGCTCAGAATTTTGCCCCCACTACTCCTCTTGGAAGCCTGTTCCAAAACCTCAATGCTTAGATTGTTAGAAGCCTTTTTCTAATCTCCAGGATAGTTGATTATTGCAGCATATTTAGACCACTTGCTCTTGTGCGAATATTGCTTAGCTTAAACAGTTATTTTCCTTGCATGATATTCATCCAGAAATTTATTGCAAGCTCTCCCAGCCTTTATCTTCTTAGGTTAAACAAGGCAAGCTCTCTTAATCTTCTTTTATCTGGTAGGTTCTCCATTCCCCACCTCGTCCTAGTAGCATCATCCCTTCTCTGCACCTGGTCTTATTTAATTCTTTTATTTTGAGCATGGAGAAACAGAAGTGTACATAACACAGGAGTTTGACCAGTGCTTTCTAAAACCACGTTACTTCTGTCCTTACTGTTTGCCTTGTATCCTAGGATTGCATTTACCTTTTGCATAGCCAGACTACTTATGGCTAATAGTCATCTTGTAACTAACCAATGCATCCAGGTCTTTTTCTTCTTCTGTTTCTAATTTGCCTACAGCAAAATTTTTGTTATGAAGCCTTAGGTGCTCAGCCATGTACTTTGTACTCTTCTTTAGATATTACATTATACAAAGCAATCAGCAAAAGTGTTTGATGGGTGAATGGATTTGCACTGCAAGTTGTGATAATGATTTATAACTAAAAGCCTCGAGCGTTCTCGTTTGGACACAATAATCCCAAAGATTATATTAAGTACCATGTTCAAAATATAACTGGAATGTGCGGGTTAAAACTATTTTCCTTTAACAAAATGTGCAATGCTTGTAGGTTTTACATTAAAAATAAATAAATAAATAAATAAATAAATAAATAAATAAAATCAGTGTTATTTTCCATGTAAATACAAATTGTGGAATTAATTACAGCTCTCACAGGATACGTGAAATATCAAGGTATTCTCTGAGACCCAGGATAAGAAATCAAAAGCATTAATTGATGGGTATAAATTCCAGCTAGCTGTTAAAAGAGGAGTCAGACCAGTTCAGTTTGAGCCTCATCCAAAGCCCGCTGAAAGCAATGGAGAAAATCTCACTGGTCTGAAGGAGCTTTGGCTCCATCTGATTTAGGGGGATAAGGACAGCATATAAAGAACACGGAACAGGGTGTGATCCTTTCTTTCTGTTCCAGTGTAACAATCTCACATTCCTTTAACGTGGGTAGGGAAAAATATCTTACATTGGAAATATCTTACATTTGGAATAATCCAGCCGTATTCATGATTATTTACTCCCACCATATATGGGACAGTGCTCAACTCTTTATCAGCCAGCAGCTCATCTACTTCCTTTGGAAAAAACACACCATCTACAACTGGAGGGAAATATGCAATTTGCTGAAAGGAAAAAAAACCCAAAGTTATTTATCCCTCTCCGTGATATTGCAAAATTCTTACTGCCGAGTGAAGCCAAGACCAATACAAGTGCCAATCTCTTAGAATCCAACACAGAACAAATGTGATGACAAAGCCATTAACAAAGTGTCCAGACACAGCACCTGCTAGTCACCTAACTGTTCGCAGGGAAATCAATGTTAAAATTCCTTTCAGTTAGAATGATGATAGAATGAAGGCAGCGCTGTGCACTTCTGAAGACCTGAATCTCGATAATCAGGACTACCACACAAGATGCATATGTATTGTTATTCTGAAAAACAGTTTGTACTTTAGTAAAATGCTACAGTACAGTAAGATTGCAAAGAGCCGTATATGACTAGGAAAGACAGGATGGTAAATTGTCAGTGTTGCTTCTTCTACTGGCACCTACCTTAATCTACTTTAATTAATCTTCTAAAAATTTTACGTGTAACTGGATATATTGTCATGGGCTAGCTTTGACGACATCCCCCAGTTTGACAAAGGGAATTAATTAATTAATGTTCATAGTGGACGAGCAGTAGCATTCACATGCAAAAACTAGTGGGGCATAAAAATAAGGGTGTGCCGTCTTCTAATAAAATAATCAGACATACATTCCTTCTTGCAATTTCATCTGGAAATGACAGTGGAATTTAAAAAGTTCAGGATCAACTTTTCAAAGTGGCCTCCCCCAGTACCTAAAATTTGAAAATACCAAGTTAATTTTCCAGAATTAAGATTCTGCAGACATAAGAACTGCTTTTTGTGTGAACTGTATTTTTATGGGCATGTGCAACAGAGGCCTGGGTCTGCAGGAAGAGTCTTCTAGTCTCTGTCACCAAGCTGAGTTCAGCAGCAAGGGAAATACTACTTGCTGCTGCTGGGCTGGGGCAGTGAAGACAAAAACAGCTTGACCTTCAGATCTTGATGCTAGCCTAGCCAACTATGCATTGCCATTTGTTGGTTCTCCTGTAGTTGCCAAAAGTGGGTATAGGATCCTCTGACAATCTCTGGGAAAGAATGGGATGGAGGTGGGCCCAAACAGATCCAGAGCAGATGAACTGGCATGGCCACAGCCCCCATTCAGACCAGGCCACAGGAGCAGCAGCCAGGGACTACTTTTAAGTCCCTAAAGCAAGTAAGAATTAACCCCAGGTCTCTTCCCCTCTGTGCTCAGCAGCACATTCCTCCCCTCCTGCTGTTGTCCCCAGCTGACCCCGGGGGAGGGGGGGAGCCCCAGAGCCAGGACTCTACAGCTGCTGCTCCCACAGCATGGTCTGCCTGCTTTGGTGGGAGGGGAGGGAGGGAAACTGGGATCTGGGGTATAGGGCTGGTTGCTGCTCCTCCACCCCACTTTACAGGTGAACTTCTGACTACAGACTAGAATTGTGAGCCCCAGAGCCAGGCTTAAAGAGGGGGAACCCACCTGTTGCCACCATCACTGCTGCCATCACCAACTGAGCCCAACTCCCTGTGCATCCACTCCCCGCAGCTCCAGCTGCAGTAGGGCAGGAGAGGCTCTGGAGTTCCCCCGGCCCTGGATCAGCCGGGGGCAGTGGTGGATGGGGGAGGCGAGGTGCTACTGATCACTCAGGTGAAGGAAGGGGGTTTTGAGGGGAGAGGAGGCGGGGATTCTTACCTTATTCAGGGACTTAAAAATGCATCTCCCCGGCTGCTGCTCCAACAGCGTGGTCTGCCTGCCTGCCTGCTTTGGTGGGGAGGGGAGGGAGGGAAGCTGGGAGCTGGGGTGTAGGACTGGTTGCTGCTCCCCCATCCCCTTTACAGGTGAAGTTCTGACTACAGACTAGAATTGTGAGTCAGTAGACCTTCCTTCTAATGGAAAAGTAAAGAAACCTAAATCTTTTTAGTTTGCAACTCTACTCACAAGCTTCATAGACCAATCATTCATTTGCTGCAGCTACTGCTGGTCCTCTTCCTCCCTAAAGATCTTTTTCCAAGACTTCCTTTACAGAAATGGAGATATTCCTAAATGCAGTCCATCACCTAATAGCCTCCTCACTTACTCCTTACTCTAGCATTTGACACAGAAACTTAAAATGGGCAGATGTAACAAAACAACAAATCTAAATCAACCCTACTCCAAATACTGTATGGGTTTAGAGGCAGTGGATTAGCGGAGTTAATTGCAAGTAATAAAATGTGACGGAATTTGACATAGCCTTGAACCAAACTCTCAGATCAAAATTTTGTGAAACCTAAATTCACATTCTGAAGCTCAGACCCATCCTGTCACAAAACAAGAAATAGGATTTAAGCACATGGAAAGGACTGACTCCATACTAGAAGAGTCAACCAATGTTTCTATATTGATTCAAATGTTTAACAGATCCTAAATTAGCAGTTCTCCCTTACCTTAAGGGCCTCTGTAGTTACAGACACTATTTCTTTCTCTGTTTTTTTCCTCAAACAATTAACTATCGCAGAACTGGTCATCTCACAGCCAGCTAGATTAGCAATTACCTGTAATTGTTGAAAAAAAATAAAAAGGAAGAGATGACAGTCATGTGACAGCCAAATAATTTCATACCTGCTGATGTATGATGGATTTTAAATCTGCCCACCATAACCAAATTACAGTGTAGGTGTCTGTGTGCGCACTACAGTACATGGGGACATGAACAGGATCAGCAGACTGCAGATCCTGTTCTGAAAGATACTCAAATCTTGCTGAAGATCATTCTATTTGTAGGGACCTACTTTATTTGCGGTTTCATGGATTTTACAGAAACCATGAAATCCAGGATTGTCCACAAAAAATTAACAACAACAAAAATTTAATAAGAATAAAATGCCAACTCCCAAGTGGGAGTCAGAGGTCCTCACTATCATGAGGGGAAGATGCCAGCTGGCAGGGTGGCACAAAGGGCAGCAGATAAGGTTGCGTCTGCCCCCTTGTCTCTCTTCCTCTGGCCAGGGCCTCTACAAATCAGCACCAAGGGGAAGGGCAGCCACCAGTCAGGAAGGCAGTTGCCCACACATCCCCCCCGCCCCCTCCCCAAGCCTCTCCACTAATTGGTGCCAAGAAGTAGGGCCATGAAATGACTGTGGAATTAGAGCTTTAGGTCACAATCAACACATAAAAATTGGTAAGTCCTCCCATGATTTAGGTAGACGCCAACCATTTGCAGTACCTTCTATTTTTTCTGGGACAGTCAAACAGTTGCAACTCATTTTTAAAAGCTACCTTAATCTTTAACCCTATTTATTTTGGCGTTCTCTATTGTAATGCAGTATAATTGCTAGTGAATTTGGCTGCAGTGGCACAACCCATTTGAAATTGTGCTAGATTTGATTTTCTGTGTGCTCCCTTTGTTATTCTCCACAAATATATATATTTTTAATCATAGAAACATTAAGAAGAAAATTTGATGATTCCTTGGCAGATTACTGCTACTAATCTATGTAAACTTAAATCCACCATCCCTTCTTGCTTCATAGTTCGGGGCAGCACAGGCATTGCTGGGAAAAATGGGAAATCAGAATTTAAGATTAAAAGAAAACTCTACACACACCTAGGAAGGAAAGAGAAATGAGACGTAAAAGATTATTTTTCTAGGTTGTGAAAAGAGTTGAGCACAAACACTTGATTTGTAATTTGAAATTCAACATTGAGAAATGTCCAGGAACAGAAACTCAGCATTTAAGAAAGAAAGAAATGAAAAACAAACACCTCCGAGAACTTACGCGAGTAAGAGCTTGAGGTTTCGAAATAGTACTACCAGGTAAGTTCACAACCCCACTCTGTGATATGGCTTTGTGGAACAAGCCTTTGGACATGGGAGACAGAATCTACAAAAAACAAAGTACAAATTATATATCCATGATGCTTGTTTGGTACAATGCATGAATAACTTTGCATTTGTAGACAGACTGAAAAGCAAGGCTCAACTTTAGAGTTGTTCAGTAATTTTAATATAAAAGCAGTCATGGCAAACCTACATTAGCACCAACGCTGATTCCTCCTGCAGATTCTCCAAATAGGGTGACAGATTCTGAATCTCCACCAAAAGTATCAATGTTTTCCTTAACCCACTGCAGAGCTGCCACTTGATCCAGCAACCCCCAGTTTCCACGAATGTATTCATCACCAGTACTGAAATCAAAAGACAGAATTCTAAACAAAACCACCAGTTTTCTTCTCTGCTGCTGGGAACACAGAACAAACATCACCAGGTATTTCAAGTGTCATGACAAGCATGCTTCTAACCCCTCAGATATGTCATTGGGCAGCAAAGCCTGCTGTGGATCACTTCAGCCTGCAGAAGAAGAGTGTTCCACCACACATACAAACTCCAGCCAGAGCAATTTTGTTTGTATTTTACAATTTTCTGCAGGACAACAACATTTTAAACTTTGATCAGTGCATGCAAAGCTGGTCCAAACAGGTGCCTCCTTATCATAAAAATCAATAATAATAATAAAATTAATTGTTTGGGAAGATGCAATTTGGCAAAGAGAGGACAAGGTTCCATATTTATGTCTCCAAAACCATCAGGTCTGGGCCTAACCAAGTTGCTGCTCAGCCATGAGCACACTGCCTTTCAAGAGATGCAGTAGCATAACTGGGTGGGTGAGTGAGCTGGGCACCAGCCCTGGGTGCCAACTATGACAGGGAGCAAGAATGACTGTCCTCAGGAATCTATGCCATGGCAAGTACAGCCCTGCACTGTCTGGCCATAGAAGTCAGGCAGATGCAGCCTTGCACCCAGCAACATATGGCGGGGGTGTGTGGAGAAAGAGCTCACACACACCTGGGAGTCTTCACCATGAGGGGTACAGCCCTGTGCCCAATAGTATATCTGTAGGTGGAAAGGGGGAGTGAACATATACAGACCACAGGATTTTTTTTTGGCAAAAGTATTTATTAACATGCAAACAAACACGAAGCTCCACTTGCAACACTGCCAAGTGGCCCCTGTGGTTCACTTGGCAGCTCAAAGCACACTAAAAACCTGTTACACAGTTTGCACTGCGTATCCGTGAGTCCATCTCCATATTTGCACTCCCACCCACTGCCCTCCTCAGAGGGCATCCTGAAAAAGTCCATGCCAGACCCCTCTCTACCAGGTGAGATCTGCCATTTCTCTCTCGTTGTCCTCTTCCACCTTCCTATAGTACCAGTTTTTTTTCACTTAGTCCAGGGATGGGCAAAATATGGCCCACGGGCTGCATCTGGCCCGCAAGGCCATACTATCTGGCCCACAAGGACCCTAAAAACCCCCCTGAAAATTAAAACGTATCTGTCCTTGGTTCCTGTAAAAAATGACAGGAACCAGGGGCAAGCAGGATCCAGGGGAATCCTCGGTGGGCTCCTGCAACACCATGGCCCGCCCCCACAGCCGGAAGCCCCAGCAGGGGCTTCTGGCCTGGGACCATGTAGCTGCCCTGGCGTGGGAACCTCAGGTAAGGGGGGAGGCAGGGAGGACCCCAGGCAGGGAAGGAGCTGGTGCGGAGGGCAGGGAAATTTGGCTCCTCCCCCGCCTCGTGGCTGGTGCTCCCTGCTGCTGCAGCAGCAGCTGGCATCCCACATAGGGCTGTCCTAAGCATGTGGTGCCAGCCATGGCGCAGGGGAGGGGCTGCTTTTCCCTGCGCTCAGCACCAGCTTGTAACCCACCCCCACTGCCAGCCTGGGCCCCGCGCCAGCTCCATACTTGCCCATTGGGGCTGCACCGCAGTGGCAGCAGCTGCAGCCTCCCCGCTTGCTGCACCCGGCAGTGTTTGCTGCTACTGCTGCCCACCTGGAGCTTGCGCGCTGGGCAGTACAGGGACAGTGGTGGCAGCCTCACTGCAGCCTACTGTGGTG